CTTCGACACTGCGGTGGCATCTGCAATCCTTTATGCAGTAGTCTGTTGAGGAGCTGGAAGCACAGAGAGAGACTGAATGAGACTGAACAAACTGGTTAAGAGGGCTATTTTTGACCTTTGCTGCCCTCTAGACTCCATAGAGTCCATGTTAGCCAAGCTGACATCAAACATGAACAACACCTCTCAGAAGTGTTAGAGAGGAATCCTCCATGCATGCTTCACCTTATATATGCTTCCTTTAGGCAACATGATTAGTGGAGTGAAAACAGTGTTCAATTTGTGGTATGCAGAAGGATATTTAGGTTCATATCTACTGATGCCGCCAAGCCAGTTGAAATTATGCGGATTAGCGTTAAATTGATAAAATTGCCTTAGATTTAGAAAACCAGGGCGCTCGGTGCTTACTAAGACTTGCGTGATTCGCTACTGTAGAAGTGTGGGGCGTACACTTACACGTGAAGAGTTGCCGTACGCACAAAGAAAAATTTCAGCATTGTATCAAAACGTGCGAGCACGAGAATCTCACGGTCGATGTCTTTGTATCGCAGATCAACGGTGAATTGAGCACACGATGCACGCGGTGCAGCACGCCTGCCGACCCTGTTCCCTCCCAAGAATAGCCGATTTGAATATGCTAACTTAGTATAATAGGCCGCATAGATTAGTACCTGTCTTTAGGGAAACATGGCAAGAAGCCAGGAAAAAAATGAAGTTACCGGAGTGTGAATGGAGGTGCTGCTGACGGAGGTAGGGGCTGACAGGCATAAACTCGGTAGGTCGGAAGAACCGCACCGCAGCGGAGGTGAAAAAGAAGGGTCAGATATGAAGACATATCTGCCCATCGCCAGAGCCTTCAGGCCACAAGGTTGGGGTGGAGTCCTGATATTACTAGGTAACTGATATTACGTTACGCTGTATTGTGAAAGGTTACGGGTACGTAAGACGTGACGTCACCACGCTCCCAGTGAGTGCTAGTTGCTGTTGTTGTGTGGGTGAGCCATGCTGATTGAGATGGCGGCCATCGGTGCGCACTTTATTGTTTAACTGGTTACAAATGGCGTACGCACGAATTGTTGTGTTCGCAAGACTCTGGACGTTAGTACATGAGGCCCCTGGAATTTTCTTATGTTAAACTGAAAAAAACTAAAAACCAAACTTCTTGGACTTGGCCCCAAAAACTTTCTAAACTCAAACTCAAACTCATAATCTAAAGAAATAGCTACTCTAGATGGCATTATCCTGCATTAATTTCTCTGCACTTGCTCCCTGTAAAATTCAGAATAGAATATAAAATCATCACCTACAAAGCTCTTCATGGTCAGGCACCATCATATCTTGAAGAGTTCATAGTACCCTATTTTCCATTTTCTATCTTTATTCAAGAGAGTGGTATTTTAGTTAATGACTCTTTGAACTCACATTCATACAGCCCTAGACTGGTAGGACAGAGTGATTAGTAAAACCCTGCTTCACACAGTAAATCAGGATTCATGTATCTGCCCAGAATATCAACCTTACTCGGAGCAATCTGTGTGATTCACCGCAGCTGAGTGTGGGATTCATGTTATGTTGAGTGGTCAGAAATGGTGATGAAGGCCGGTCCTGTGTCTTAACGCTTGTCAGTGAAAAAACATGTTGTGTTCCCTCCTCGAACACAGGCATAAAGAAAAGAGGAAAAGAGAAGCCTTGGTCCGTCATTCAAAACAAAAAATATTTCTTGTATTTGCAGCAGATTCATTAGTGGTTATCTTCTTGATGAATCAGAAAAGCATTTACTTTGTCCAAAAAGAGACTCCTTTAGTATGCACTCTCTTAATTAACTTTTCACTGCACAATTGATTTCCCCAAATTAAAAATTAAATAAATGGACTAGATATACATACACCCGTTATTTCATATAAAAAGTACTGGTTCTGATTAAATAAGAAATAATAGTAAAACAATAGACAACTCAAAAATTAATTTAGACCACGAGTATTGTGTAAGTCAAAGACATACGATGGCCAGCTTCAAACATTTTGAAAAACCTGAACTATGTGGCAGAAGATGACTGCATATGTGGTGATTCAGTAGAATCATGGTTCTTACCTAAGCTGCTGGTGACCTCCATTACAGTGTTTCTTCTTCTCCTGCTGGGGGCCGGACATTTCAATTCTAGAAATGCAACACAGACTAGTTTTTAACAGAGCCAAACAAGTTTGGACCCAGACTTGAGTTTTGCATGGTATAATTTATGTGATACTCTTAAAATCAAAGTAATTTAGACAGTGTCATTTAGTGTAGGGTGATAAAAATTGATCTACATTCTTATTTGTTGGACTATTAAAATGTAATAGTTAACAATAGTACATTTTAACATAAGCGAATGGACCATGATCAGCTCATTCAGCACTCACCATTGTTTGCTATTGGAAATATCTCAAAGGGCCAGTTAAACCAAAACCATTATGGGCCACAAGGTGGACCACAGTGCAGTTGTAATTTCCGTGCCCAGCACCCATGTTGTGCTAGTAGCAAATGTACTTGTGTGCAGTCATGGGTGTGTTGCTCTTAAAATGGTGTGGTCAGCACATTGTTGGTGCACTGCTATTTTAGGGCAGCAGAAATGCCAATTGAATATAATAATATAATATAATAAAGTCTTGTTGCTTACACATAAGGACACACAACAGTGCTCCTCATTCTCAGTTAAATATTGGTGCATTTGTAGTCTAAATGCAGTCTAATGCAGTTGTGGATGGGACATCTGTGCCTGGTGGTCACTGGCGTCAGTTCTCTGAACAGATCTAAAATTGTTCTATATCTACTCTGTTTTTTTCAGAAAAACTGTTCACTTCTCCAAATTGCTGTATCTGCCATTTAAAGCAACATTATGTAACTTTTCTACTATAAAATAACAGCGTCTCTATCAAAACACTGAGTTGTAATATAATGTGGTAGATATGGATATGGAGTTGTATATGTGAATGAGGCCTCTGTTATTCCTGTTGTTGCACTGTAACTTTTGGTTTTCGGTTAGGTCAAGTAAGTAACACTTTATGCTGACAGACCACCAACTATGTCACTGATTTTGTAGAAACTGACTGGCGTCGTGCCATAGCTAAATGCAGAGGTGAAGACACTTAAGAGGACAATAGAGGAAGTTAAATACAAGGCTGCAAACAGATGATGAGCTGCCTTCTTGCTGTTACTTGACTATGTTCTGGCTCACTATGTTTTTTGTTGTTGCACTTACTTGATGTTTGGCTGTGTTAGAAATGTTGTCGACTCGCTAGCTTTTGATCATAGGTAATGTAATCATAGGAAACACAAACTCTGAAACTCTGTATGGTATAATGTAATTTGGGTGAAAAGACCCTTTAAGATGCAGTTCTTCTACTGTCCACTTAATGCTTGCACCTAAAAATGGCATATGAATGATGATGAAAACCCCAAACTTCTACACCCACTTCTCCTAACTAGTAATATTTCATTGAGACAATAGCCTAAAGAGGGGTATGTTCAGGGGAGGGAAGAGTAAAGTAGTGTCACCTTGTCTGTAGGGAGTCCCAGAGGCCGTGCTGGACTCGAACAACAGCCCAGCATCGT